GGAGTCAGGGAAGCGATCTGAACTCAGGGAAGAGGACTGGGGTCAGAGCTCCAGAGTCAGGGAAGCGATGTGAACTCGGGGAAGAGGACTGGGGTCAGAGCTCCGGAGTCAGGGAAGCGATGTAAACTCGGGGAAGAGGACTGGGGTCAGAGCTCCGGAGTCAGGGAAGCGATGTGAACTCGGGGAAGACGACAGGGCTCAGGGAAAAAGGCTGAACTGAGCAGACTGTGGATCACACATCAAGCACTGAGAGGAGGATGAAGCAGAGAAGTTGTGATATGATTGATAATGGAGTGAAAATGACAGGAACTGAGCCTCAGTAGACAACAGAGGAGTGTGAGGAACTGAGGAAGAGGGGGATCTCTCCAGGGAGTGTAGGATACGAGGAGCCCTCCGGCTCGGAGTCCAGCTCACTGTCCACACCGAAGGGGTTTCCCAGCTGTCCTGAGAGAGGAGGAAGGGGGTTAATATGCTACAGTCAGAGACCTCTCATTGTTTCTCTGCTGTGTATTATAGTGCAGTATTGCGTATCAGTGTGCTACTATAGCATAGAGCTCTGCACTCTGAATCTGTTCATTTCATGTTCCTGCTGTCATAGTCCTGAGACAACAGAAAACCTAGGAGGATGTCCTAAAGCCTTCTGGGAACTGTAGTTTTTTCCCCAGGGCTGCATGTCTGATCTGTAGAGGACACAAACCCTCAATGCGCGAGGCACAGCCCAGCCCCTCGTTACATTCTTCTGCTTCTCTTCCTGCACCAGCGCTGGGAGTCCTGTCCCCGCTGTTCTCCTCTGAGTCTGTAAGTCTGAGTGTCTTCACTGGGGGGGCCTCCTGAAACCAGTCAATAATCAACCCCTCATCAATCAGCCCTCTCGCTGACTGGCCACAGCACCATTTCAGAGCGGATCGGCAATTGAGCCACGTACCTGGTGATCATCCAGAGCCCTGTTCCTCCTGCAGCTCCCTGCACGAACTGAAACACATCGGTCAGAAAGACAGCAGCAGCAGCAACAGACTCACAGCACGACTACTCTCAGCCCCTCACCTCCCAGACGAGCCTCTCTGTTGGTCTTCACCTGCAGGAACATCTGGGACAAGGGGGTCACCCGTTAGAAAAGACACTGCGCACAACCCAACCGAGGCAAAATCAAAACACGCAACCTGGGACACTCTGAGCAGCTGTAGAGATGGACAGGGAGACAGTGAAAAGTCCCACTGCTGTGGACTCACCTGCTGTCTGTCCAGTTTGTGCCCCTCATCTTCGGAAGGGGGCGACCCCAATGAGGGAGACTGCAAATAGAGAGACAGAGAGAAGGACTCATTACTGGGAACATCAGGAGGGTTACAGGGTTTCACTCTGCACTGTTTCACACTATGCTGTTCCACAATGCAGTGTTTCACACCACACTGTTGGACACTGTACTGCACTGTATTGCTCTGTTTCACACTGCGCTGCACTATTTCACAGTGTACTGCACTGTTTCACACTCTTTCTCATGCACTGTTGCACACTGTACTGCTCTGTTTCACACTTCACTACAATGTTTCACAATGCAGTGTTTCACACCACACTGTTGGGCACTGTACTGCACTTTCATACTGCGCTGGACTATTTCAGTGTATTGCACTGTTTCACACTGCATCGTTTCATACTGAACTGTTTCGCACTGTCACACTCTTTCACATGCACTGTTTCTCACTGCACTGCACTCTTTCACACTGCACTGCACTCTTTCATACTGCACTGTTGCACAATGTACTGCTCTGTTTCACACTGCACTGCACTCTTTCACACTGCACTGTCACACTGTACTGCTTTGTTTCACACTGCACTTTTACGCACTGTTGCACACTGTACTGCAGTCACACACTGCATCGCTTCATACTGTACTGTTTCACACTGTATCACTCTTTCACACTGCACTGCACTTTTACACACTGTTGCACACTGCATTGCACTGTTTCACGTTGCATTGTTTCAAACTGCAGTTTCACACTGTATCGCACTCTTTCATACTGCACTGTTGCACAATGTACTGCTCTGTTTCACACTGCACTGCACTCTTTCACACTGCACTGTTGCACACTGTACTGCACTGTTTCACACTGCACTGCACTTTGATGTACTGTTGCACACTGTACTGCACTGTTTCACACTGCACTGTTGCACACTGTACTACTCTGTTTCACACTGCACTCTTTCATACTGCACTGCTGTGCACTAAAATACCCTCACTTACCTGATCACAGCCCTGCAGCTCCTGGAGGTGCTCTGACTGAGAGAGGCTGAAGTGACAGAGTGGTACAGTAAGTTCAACACTGAATTATAAACCTGATAGATCACACATGTTTAATAAATCGTACACCTTTCAAACAAGGTTTATGCAAGGCCCATTCTCTAGGACTGGGAGCTGATTCTAGTATGTTTGGGAATTCAGGGATTAGATTTTTAAAATTTAAAGAAGAATGTTTGTCTTATCACAGAGTATTTCTCACACTGCAGCAGAAAGTGCACCTCTGTCTCCACTTGTCCCCACTGGCAGTGGGTGGACAACATGTACTCTCTGGACATTCAGGTCTGTCTGTTTCCAGTTTCTATGGCCAGAAAAGTATATTCCTCTGTCCCTCTGTCCGTCTCAATTTGAAACTCAAATTTGCTTTTCTAACAGGATGCATGTACTGGGAGTTAAAATAAGACATAATAGCATAGGTGCTGTAATGAATACATTAATGAATGACAGGAGTGGGGAAAATGAGAATTGTGGCAGGGTATGTCACTGTTTGGGAGGTCAGTAAGGCAGTGAAGGACAAAGTTCACGTCTGCCCTTCTCCCCTGTACCTGGCTGGCAGTGAGTCCATGTGTTCCAGTTCACTGCGCAGGTGGTCCAGGAGCTCGGCTCGGGCGAGGTCAGTCTGACACAGTGGGCATCGCAGAGAGAGGGGGGCTTCACTGAACCTCTCTAGGGGGAACACACAAAGCAGGGCACATATTTTGAGAACTAGCAGAACACTCTGAGCCCCAAGGAGTGTGTCGTCGGTGTGAGGTCACCCCTGTGTCGTCTCTGGGCCTGCAGGGTCAAATCATTGACATGCTGCCAGGGGAGAACACAGGCTGAGCAGCCCAGAAATTAGACACGCTGACACCCCCCTCCTCCTCCACATCCTCCAATTCTGTGTGTAGCTGCTTAATGAGACACCATGAAATCAGACACAGCTCCTGGGAGACCCCGCCTCTCCCTCCCCTCTGCGTCTCCGATTGTAAATTCAAAGTCAAAGCGCTGACTGATGAGTTACAGTGTTTTCAAACCAGATCCAATTAACACAACATTTACAGTACGAATACATTGGACATTCATGGACATCACAGAAGACCTTACTGAGAGACAGACTCACTGTCTGTTCCTCAGCCTGGGACAGGAGATCACACACTGTATTATTATTA